AGCTCCAGGAAACTTGTAGAAGCAAAGAACGCCATTAGAGAGGATTTTAGTACTTCCACAAGCAATCGTATTATTCTCGTGATTACGTCCAAAAAAATGTATTCGAATGATTACAAAATTACTCCAAGAAGTAATCGATTCCAAGTAACTTGATTACTCGTAATGAGTATAGTACAAATATGCTTGCAACCTGTACAAGAAAAATGAAGACAAACAAAAAAAAAGTTTTTCGTGTTATAAATTAGGTGAGTACAATAACCGAATTCGAGAAGGCTCGAAGTCCCCTTTTGAAGTTCGTTTTGCCCACGTGCGCAGGTTACCTTCGCTCTTTGCTTCCGCCGAAGTCTGACCTCTCGGCCTTTTCCTGCTCGGTGATTGCTGACCGGAGAGCTGACAGTCTATTAGCGTCGGAAAGAAGAGGCGCGGCACGACCGTCGCCCGGAATCTCGCGGCGTGTCGTAGTAGCGCGAGATCGGAGGAGGCGCCTCCTCCCGGTGTCCGACGCGCCTGCATCCTTTTCGCCAGATTGTGTTCTGTGGCCCTGTCCGCCGCGCGACAACGACGATGCCGGCGACAGCGCTGGGGATCGCCTGTCGTCGTCGTCGTCGATGCCTGTCGCTGCCGCCGCCTCGGAACGGGGCACGCCAGGAATGTCGGCGTTGTTTTATATCTCTCGTTCGCCGGTACACGATGAGACAGCGGCTAGCTCGCTGCGGTGCGTATATAAATGACCCGGAGGAGCCCGGTGGCACTTCGTGATGCTTGCGCTATTGCTGCGCCGAATTTCCTCCTCCCTTTTTTTTTTTTATTATTATCTATATTGCGATGCCGCAATAACGCACGAGTAGGGGCGTTGCGGTCGCTGTGGCCCTTTGCTCCTCGCGATACTGTACTAGGTAAGGGCCCATAAACATTTCCAACGGTGTAATGAAACCGAAAACAATCGGCCCCTTAGTGAGCGAGCCGACGGTCAAAATATTTTTTTTTTTTTTTTTTTTTCTGGTGAAAATCGGAAAGCTTGGAAATTATAGACTGTGGCCCTCTGGAAAAGAGCGGGAATTTTGTTTCGAGGCTCGGGTATACAAAGAGACCTACTCGAGATACTTGTCTAAAGATGACAGATGCAGCGGTTTCCAAATTCGCATCTTTTCAGACTGAGAGATTAACTGGCCACGTAAAATGCTCCGGGGTTTGTTCGACTCGGCTAGCAACCCGTGCTCAACTCGGAAATATCTTAGGGAGAGGGGCGTATACATCAGCGGTGCCTTGCGCTTGGTTGGATCGGCGAAGTGACTAAGGCGTTACTTCTCCGCGTCTTTTTCAATCCAGTTAGGGATGCTACTCTTATTAAAAGAGCCGTGAGAGGGAGAGAGATATTTTTGTTTTCTCTCCAAATGTTACAAGCAATATAAACGTAAACTTGAAGGTAAACCTGAGCCTGGGGTAGGAAAAGTAAAACGCCTTTCTGTCTTCCTTTGTGTTTTCCTTTTCCTACGAGACGTTACCTTTTCGTTTTCTGTCTTCCTTTTCCTGCCCCAGTCTCAGGTTTACCATCATGTTCAACGTACACCAGCTCGCCTGCATACTATATTCTCGTTAACATAAACGTGTCCTTATTTTGTGTATGTGTCTGTGTGCAGAAAAAAAAGACGATCTTTTTTTTACGTACTCACAGGTATTCGCGTTTAATTAACATATAGCCAGGTTTTTGTAGCAAGAATCGTCACGCTCGCCGAAGGCCGTTTTTGTTTACAAAAAGTGCGTGTTGCCGACACTCGTCAGCCGGGTCCTGACGGATGGGTTTATTTCGAAAGCACGGATAAAAGGTTTCCTTTTTTTTCCCTTCTTCCTTTTTTAGATTTCGGTACCGAACTAACATTACTTTCATTTCTGTATACAATCTACTTCGGCGACGGCGAAGGACGTTCCGCCGGCATTCGGAAAACGAAGCCATACGCTTTTTGTTTACAGCTTCTCTCCTCTCCCGTCATTGGATGCAGTCGATGGATTATATTGCTTTTAATTCGGTTTCCATTTCTCCTACGAACTCTCTGCGTCACTCCGTTTATTTTGAGGCGCGTGTTTTTCTGTGTCTGTTGGTTGATCTGTCGATACTTGGCGAGCTTTCACGAGGCGCGAACGGGGAGCGTTGCATTTCGACGGTCTCGATACGGAGTCGTAGCGTGGCTCGTTTTGCGCTCTTGGAACGGCGTCGGTTCGTAATGGCATCTCGCTCTGAATGCGAAACTGCCGGCTTTTTACGTCGGAGGGAGAACAAACGAAAGAATGGAAGCGTATTATGGGATCGGAAACCGAAGAAAACCTTTTTATTCGATACTTTGTATATCGGAAACTCCCCTTCTCAATCACTAACAAACAAAAAAAAAAAAAAAAAAAAGAAACAAAGAAAAAAAAAGAAGAGAAGAAAAAGCACGCAAACACACACAAACGGAGGAACGGAGGCATTCATTCTGCTTTGGATGAGATTTTCGGTAATGAGCTGGCAACTGTAAGCATTCTTCGGCTTGTATGTATGTCAGCTGCAGCTCCGGGAATAATCCTGCTCTACTCGCATGCTGTCCACACTGTGAGCGAGCTAACACAGTAAATCGGTCGTGGTAGGCATTTTTTTAGTCGCACGCGTGACTGCGTATAAAATGTGCACCTCTCATCTTTTTCCGCGAATGTGCTATGTCAAGGGTTAAGCGCTTTCAGGGTGTTTTTTTTCTTTTTTTCGATTTTCGTTTTGTTTTTTGTTCTGTTTGTTGCTTTGTTCGGTTTATGGTCTATTCAGTTGAAACTGAATGCTAGGACACATGTGGCAGAAGCCACCTGAAAATCGGAACTTCCAGAAAATATATTTACGCGATGTTCCGTAAAGCGAACAATGTACTCGAATATTTGCGTATACGTAAATAGCAGTGGTGGAACTGACAAGTGGTGATTTTTCCAGCAGCCCTTGTAGCGGGGAAAAAACAGCTTTTGGAGCAGGCATTCTCACTTTTGGAGCTCACAATTTTGAGCCTTTATGTCAAACGAATTGTATACAATCTCTTTGAAAGTAACCGCATGTGGAAAAAAAAAAACTGCAGTTGTTGGAGTGTCGGGAGACAATTAAAGTGTCGTATTTGCAGGGTACCTGGCCGCTAGGTATTTATTTATTAATTGAACAATCATGCGCGGGTAATTTTGCGGATGTCTCAATGAATTTATTAGGAATACCGATGGTGTCAGTGGCGTACCAACTTGCTTTTGAGTGGGGGGCAAGCTAGACCCCCCCCCCCCCCCCCCCCCCCCCCCCCCCCCCCCCCCCCCAAGGGGCCGGGGGGCGGTGCCCTCGGTATCCCTTGGGCGCCGCCGGCCAGTGTTTGCCCTGCCCAGTGGCGGCTATTTCAAGCCGGGGGGAGGGGGAGGGGGGGGAGGGGGGGAGGG